TACTCACAACTCAAGACCCTCAAAGAATACTGCTTTGATACCAATTTTTGAGGTAAAAGTTTGTTGATTTTGTGTTTATAATTTCAAAACAGAGAAAGAATAATACAAAAATTTAAATATGAATGTGTGAGTTTGAAGTGACAAAAAAGACAACAAAAAAATCCAAAGGAAATGCATAAAAAATGTAGACGAGAATATAACAGAGTAAGAAATAGCTTCTGAAAAATGTGAACTATGTAATTTATCAGTCTTATATATATAACATTTTAAGAGGAGATATTTTTCTATAGTAAATACAAGTTATCAGTAAAATTGTTAAATAAAACACGTCATTTTGTTAACCTAAACGAGTAAAAGTTGTTGATTTTCTTACTTCAAAACATGCTTCATCATTCCTTTCGACTATCACTTACTAACTAAAGCATAATACAGAAAAAATAATCATAACTTTATGACTTCAGCAATCATTGTTCAAGAAAAAACTAAATTGTTAACACTCCTCCTTGAGTTTTCTTTTAAAAAGTCCAAGCTTGGTTCTCAAGTCTTTAAACTGTCCCCTTGGCAAAACTTTAGTTAGGATATCAACAAGTTGTTCTTCTGATCTGCAATGCTCTAAATGGATTTCTTGGTTCTTCTCAGCTTTTCGCATAAAATGAAAGTTAAATTTTATATGTTTTGTCCTACCATGTTTCACGGGAATCTCTCCAAGATCTGACATAACAAATTTTTTCATCATAAGTTATTTAAACTGTTGTATCAGTTGAGAATTTCCACCAGTAATGAACAAATTATCAACATAAATTGAAACAATGAGATGTTCTTTATCTTCATAACTCTTCACATAAAGTGTTGACTCTGTTTCAATTCTTAGAAAATCAAGATTAATCAGATGTGAATCAATCCTTGTATATTAAGCTCTAAGTGCCTACTATAGACCATACAAGGCCTTTTTCAACTTGTATATCATGTCAGCCTCTTCATCAACTACAAACCCTTGAGGTTGTTCAATGAAAATCTCCTCCGACATGGAAAGTTGAAACTTCTTGTACGTTATAGGCTTTTCATAGTTTGTTGGTTCAATAATGGCTAAATTGCACATTTCGTAACTCTCTATAAATAACTTGGTCTTTGTGTCTGGTGTATCTGTAGTTGGATCATTAAATACTGCATAATCAAGTTGAACCTTTTCAACAAGAACACTTCAAAACTTGAAGCTGCAACAGCTGTATCTTTTATGAGTTTCTTTGCTTCAACTTGTTTTTTATTTCAATTCTAAAATATTGATTCATCAACAAGCACATCTCTACTCTTTTGCATAAACATCAAAGAGTCAACATCATCATGGTTAAATCTTCTATTCCACAAATCAATCAAATCATATTTGGCAATAAAACCATGTTGATTTCATATTTCATACCAAAAATATTGTCATTTCATATTTTTCTTTATCTTTGTTACTAGCATATTTGAAGGATTACAAATAAAATAGTAATTATTTTTTTAACAAAATGGAATAACTCATATTTTTTATTTGAGTAACACTCAATAAATTTAACTTTAAACTAAGAATAAAGAGCACATAAGTTCACTTAGTTTGAACTAATATTGAACATTTTCCTTGAGCTTTCACAATTGCCCCATTATCAACCTTCACTTTAGTTCTACAATTAACATCCAAGTTGCTGAATAATATACGATCTTTGGCCATATGCCTTTTGCACCCACTGTTCACATACTAAAAATCACTTTCACTCACATAAGATGCCTCAATCATCATGAAAAGATGACTTTTCTACTGTTCATGGTTATTAGCAAAATAGATTTCTTATTGCTAAAGTGGTTACTGTTGTTGCTAAAGCTCATTCTTTTGATGTGATGCTTGATGTTTTCTCTTCCAACACACTTTCTTTGAATGACCATATCTTTTACAAATTTTGCGTTATACATGCTTTTAGCACTTGCTCTCAAGATGATTGGATTTATCACAACTTCTACAAGGAGGATATTTTCCTTTTTCTGATGAATCTTCTAAACTCTGTGGCTCCTTCCCTTTATTTATTGAGGATTGATCTTTATATCTTGAAATTGAGGTACCAAACTTGTACCTTTATCTTACTTGAAAAACATTTTCAGTGATCTCATCATTTCTGATTGAAATCCTCTGTTCCTGAGCCTATAACTTACTGATAAATTATGCAATAGTAAGCTTCTCAAGATCACATGTTTTTTTTCTTTTATCACAGACAACACTGATTTAAACTTCTCAAGGAGACTGATCATTATTTTTTAAACCACTCTTTGATTTTTGAATTCTTCTCCAGGCAACCTTATTTAATTAATAAAATTCATAACTCTCATAGAATACTCTTTAATATTTTCTTAATCTTGCATTCTCAACAACTCAAACTCTCTTTTTAGAGTTAACAATTTTACTCTTTTCACTTTAGCACTATCAGCATATTTTTTCCTCAAATAATCCTGAACTTTCTTGGTTGTCTTGAAGACCACCAGTCGTGGGAATATGTCATCAGACACTACAGAATGAAGAATTGAAAGAGCTTTGAAATTCCTCATAAACTGTTATGTGTCTTGCAAAATCTGCGATAAGGTGGAATTATCAGGTAATCGAACTCTTACATACTCCTCTTCCACAACACTTAACATATCATAAATAAGAAGATAGGCTTCCATTCTCACTGTTCAATAATCATGATTCTCCCCTGTAAATACTGGTGGAGTGGGTAAGTTGACATTTGAAGCCATTTGAATTACTTACAACTCAAGGCCCTTAAAGAATATTGTTATAATATCAATGTTGGAGGCAAAAACTTGTTGTTTTTTTGTTTGTAATTTCAAAACTGAGAAATAATAGTATAAAAATTTAAATATGAATGTGTTGGTCTACAGTGAGAAAAAAGAGAGCAAAAAAATGTGGAGGAAATGCAGAAAAAATAAAAAAGAGAATACAATAGAGAATACAGTAGAGTAAGAGACAACTTCTAAAAAATGTGAACTCTCTATTTTGTAATTCATTAGTCTCACATATATCTAGCATTTTTAAAGGAAGATATTTTATAACATCAAATACAAGATGTCAGCAAAATTGTCAAATAAAACGCATACATTTTGTTAACCAAAGCAAGCAAGAGTTATTGATTTTCTTGCTTCAAAACATGTTTCACCATTTTTTTTCAACTACCACTTACTAACTAAAACAGAATATAGAAAAAATAATCATAACCTTCTGACTTCAACAATCACTGTTCAAGAAAAACTAACTGATAACAAAATCTCACTAGCTATTGACATTGTCAAAATGCTTTTGAACTCCTCAAAACTCATAACGACAAATTGCCCACTCTTGTAAAATAACAAAAAATGAGAGAATATTTTTTTATTGTAATTATGCATTTAAGGCATAACAGTAAACTCTATAACTCTTCAAGAAATTAAAGAAAACAACACTAAATGCATTATGTAAATCATTCACTATAAGGGATGTAATCTAAATATCTAGAGAAAAGGGCCATTGCCTTGGTTGTTATCACGAGAAAACTCTACCTATACTTACGAAGCCCACATCATGCACATCCCCACGAACTTGCCACTTAATTCAAATATTTTTTATATATATATTTACCATGTTTTGCTTAGTAATTAAAATATTTGTCCACCCATTTTTTATAAATATATTAAATTTAAATTTACTTTTATTTTAGTTAAAAATAAGTGATACACAATGAATTTAAAGGTTTATATAGAAAAATAATTAAATTTTTGGCCGAGAAACTTCAAAAAATTTGGAGTTAATCTACAAATCATTGATTAGTTACTTTTAATTACCTAAAGTAAAACTATGAGAGTTCTTCAAGCTCTTGTCTCTAGTAATTTTTTATTTAAATTTTTCGTAATTATGATATTAAATATTTTTTTAACAAAAACTTATATTTTTTATTAATTAACTATTATCTATATATTAATAATAACATAATTTCTAACAAAAACACAAGAATTAAACTTTAAGACTCTAATGTACAATATTTTCCTGTAGATGAATGCAAGTAATTTACTGCGACACTGGAAAAGAAAAAATAGAAGATGGAAGAATATTCTGCAAAGTGGCGGCAGTCGCGAATTAGAGAGAGCCGACAAGCCATCAAATCACCACATCACCATCCTCGTTATCTGTGTATATATATATATGTATATGTGTATATATCTCCATATAGCGTCGTCACTGCAAATTTAAGAAAGATGATGGATTTTCATTATCGTAAAGTTGTTGGTTGGGCGGCAAAAGAGGTGCCCCATATTTGAGGGAGCCACGAATCTTAACGTCTAAAGAAGATTCATCAGCAAATTTAACATGCATGCACGTGATATGATGTTACATTCTTAATTTCTTTCTCATCTCAATATACACCTTATTATATATATATATATATATACACTCATATATATAAAGTAAAATAAGCGTAAATAAACAGGTAGAGTTGTAAGGATTTGACCCAAAAAAGTTAATAATATTAAAAGATACTAATTGTTAAAATTCTCAACAAAATTTAAAAATTAAATCAATATCAAAACTTATCTTTAAAATATTTAAAAATATTTAAAAATGATAAGAACTTTAAACCTTAATACTTATAGGAATTAAATGATACAGTTATAACTATTAAGACACTTTAAAATTTTGGATCAAATCAAGAAACATATGTGAGCATGCACAATTGGTGTGCACGAAGACAAGTCCCGTTAGGTCATGCAACTCGCACACAACATGCACCAGGTTGAGCATCGTGTGTTCGCATGACTGAATCTTCTGCTTGTAATATTACTACTATATCCTAACCCTTTAAACTGTCTTAAAAAAAATTGTATTTTAGGCTAAAGATTAAGTTCTTTTAGATTGTTTATAATTTAAAATTTTACACTTAATTTTGTTTAGATTAGAATATTTGCAATACGCTAAAATTACTTTTTCGTGTAAATACATAACAAATTATAATAGGCACACGAAAATTTTTATAGCTAAATAAAAAGAAAGAAAGAAAAATTAATTTATACAATCTTGAACTCTCTCTATCTAGGATCCTACAGCTGTTCCATTAGTTCTTACAATCTGATGAAGCAGCAGAGGAGAAAAATTGCAGTGAATGAAATGATCATCCAGAGAGTGATCAGACACATATATAATGAATAAATCATCTACAATGCATGCTGATGAGAGAAGATCGCCTGCTGAATAGATTTAAAAGCTTTCTTGTAATTCAAGAAGCCCATGAACCAGAAGTCAAAATCATCCACTGTTATAATCTGCATGTACTTCTGAGATGGTTTCTTTGTGTTCTCGCTCTGGTTAACTCTCTTTATCTTCCTTAGAGGAATCATCACCTTGTAATGAAGTCTGAGTAATTCTCCATTTGGAGAAGTGATCTTGATCGATCTCTCGCTGCAAAACGCGACCTTTTCTGTGGAAATGAAGAGGAGACCAGCAATTGGACCTGCTGTTGTGTATAAATAACATTGACTTGCCTTCAATAATTTTTCTCCATCTTTTACATTGAATAGCTGCTTGTAGATTTTCTCAACTCCACCCATTTGGAGAATTCTAGCTCCTAAACTCAATTTTCCTTTCACTGTTTCGCTTATCTTTGGCGCCAGTCTCACTGCATCAAGTTAATCAATTCATTAGATTATGATTACTTATTAATAATCTATTAAGATTTTGATCACATCACATAAAAGGAAATTGATTAAGGAAAACGAAAGAGGTCTGCATACCATGTTCTCGGATTCCATGAGCAAAATTGTCTGCTTTCTTTCCCAACTTGTTCACTCTTTTAAACACCGACTCTACTTTCCCTGCAGTCCCATCCATAACCTTGTTAGTCTTAATTTCATCAACGAAATTATTAATTAATTCCACTATCTCTACTTATATATTCTCAAAAAAATATGCTAATTACCTTTCTTAAATGTATTTGCAGAAGATTGAAGATGGTACTGACAAGTAGCAGATCCACTTAGATACCGTCTTGGCGTCTTCTCTACCAAGTAAGCTGGTGAGATGATTGGAATTCCAATAACCTGTTTCCCCTCGAGCATCATCTTTGAAGAATCCATTGATATATATATATATATATATATCTCTATGAAGGTTTTGACGGAATTCACAACTGGGTGATTGCAGAATGCCTTGGTTTGCATGCACTAGTGAGAAAGATCAGATGGTGATGAATACCTCCTCCAAATCAGTGTGTGTACATATATACATATCAAAGGAAAGAAATGGTAGTTGGGTCTTCATCAACTTTTTGCCTCATGACTCATCTGTGCCTCATCAACAAGATAAATAAAAAGGTCCCCACTGCGGGGTCTAAAATTTTTCAAAGGAAATTAATTGAAAAAGATAGTTGGCTATTGTGATGCTCTACTAGTACATTGATTGTCTATATGTTTGGTTGCTTTTAGGAAAGATGGTATAATATATTATATTTATAGTTTTAGGTACAAGAATCTCTAAAAGAAAGAATATATTACAAGGTCAATAACTAAATCCTTGTTTTGCAAGATTTCAGGAAATTGGCTCTTGGGTGAATCATAAATTAATTGGGTTATAATCTAATTGTAGAAAAATGTGTGTGTGTGTGTGTGTGTGTGTGTATATATATATATATATATATATATATAAATTCTTGAAAAAAGAATAGGGAGAATAAAAATTAAAGGTAGGTAGATTAAAAATTGATGAGACAATCCCATTAGGCAGCAACAGGAATGAGTCTTATTTTTGTGATAGAATGAGTTAGTGAGGATGTGGCATCAAGGCTTTATGAGTTGGCGATATAGCTTTGTGATGTAAGCCATGTCTTTAATTTACTTAGATAAGAAATTTAAAGCAAAGAGAAATCTATTTGCAAAATGACGTGTTACATCATACCAATTTGCATGCAATTAAAAAGACGTGATAAAAAGTAGGAAGTTTATGACTTGATTTTGCACACACACACACACATATATATATATATATATAATATGTCATCCATGTGACCCTCACGCTAGCCTGCCAAACTAAATACTGAGCCTTCTTCATCATCATGCCCAATATGTCTTATCTCTATACAGTCGGCTATTTGAATAATATTTTTATATATAATTATGTATTTATTTGTATACGTATGTATCAACTTTTTATCTTCTAGGATCATGACGAATTTTTTCTTTTTATGTTTTTAAGTAACATGTTTTCTTTCTGAGACGGAAAACATCTGATTTCAAGAACTTTTTTCTTTATATGCATATTTATTTATTTTCTTGTCTCTTATTCCCTTTTGCTTGATTAGTGAGATGGGCAATTGTTGTTAAAACAAGAATTTACTAATTATGACTTTGCAAAAATCATTTCCTAAAGGAAGAACTAGTTATTAAAGCTTTTGGAAATACATAATATGCTGCAAGAAAACATTAAAAAAGATTCTAAACAGTTCATGAGTTTTGATATTATGAGTTGCCTATATACTTGGGAATTAAGGATTCGTGAATACGTATGACATATAGTTTGATACTTGAAATTAACTGTTGATCTAAACTGATTCCTGCAGCTGTAGTATTTATTACAATAATAACTTTTAAGATTATATATTCCACATATTTGATGAGATGAAAAGAAATACTTCTTCAAAAATTATTAGTATTGTAACCATAACTAGTTGAATATGTAGAATTGTGAGTTGGTTTCTACGCCACGTTGGCCATGATAGACTTGTAAAGGAACTTGAGTAGAATCTTATGAGTTAAACAAAATCCATGTACCTCATAAGAAGTAATTAGAAACAGGTAGACTTAATGTCATAAAAAAAAAAAATACTGTATTAAATTCAATTGGCGATAAAAGTGTTCAACTATTACTAATTCATCTTTATGAGTTTGGCTTTCTTCAATTATTCTTTAACTGATTTTTTAAAAAGATTTTAGAGTGCTATGTGAAGTTGGAATTTCCAAATGTGTGACACAACTCTAAAAGTATTATGTAAGGCTTCTCAAGCTTAAAAAGAATTGGTCATCCCCGCCACATATAAGAATACTTCTTCAAATAAAGATGACACAATCCATACCAGCAATATCTAAACTCTTAGGCACCAAATTATTTAATCAAGATTTCGTATTTGTAAATTTAGATTTGCAAGTGCAGGTATAAGTATAGGTAAATGAATGGATGTTTCACTAATGTACACATAAATTTTTGATAATTTAAAATGGGAAATAATTAAGTTTTCTATGAGAGATAGTTTGTAAGTGTAAGTTTAATGGATAAAGTTTGGAAAAGGGATGTGGTAGAAGGTATGATATTGTTTAGTAAGGGTGTCAAATTGGGGTTAGAAGAAGAAAAATTCGAGTGTTTCGTGAATAGCTCTAATATCATATAAGAAATAAGATTTATTTTTTTAATCATTTTAGTCATCTAAGATATATATTAATAGTATAGGGTGTTATAAGTTATCTGCAAAATATATTTAACATTTGATATAAACAAATAAATCAAAATCAAGTTAGAAACAAACTTAAAAATAGAGTGGGATGATTTTGGAAACAAATGTTACAAGCTTTTACTTGGGCTTTTAGACTAAAACTTATTAGACCTTCTCGTATATACATTAATGTATATTAACAACCAATATTTTTTTTAACTGATAAAAAAAAAAGTTGTTGGAGGCAAAAGCTTGTTGTTTTGTGTTTGTAATTTCAAAACAGAGAAAAAATAATCTAGAAATTTAAATTTGAATGTGTGGTTCTGTAGTGAGAAAAAAGAGAGCAAAAAATGCAGAGGAAATGCAAATAAAATGCAGTAAGAGAATAAAATAGAGTAAGAGACAGCTTCTGGAAAATGTGAACTCTTTATTTTGTGATTTATCAGTCTTACATGTACATACCATTTTTAAGAGAATATATTTTCTTATAACAAATGCATGTTGTTAGCAAAATTATCAAATAAAACACATCATTTTGTTAACCAAAGCAAGCAATAGTTGCTGATTTTCTTGTTTCAAAACATGTATTGTATATGCTTCCAGCATATGCTCTCAGAATGATTAGATTTACTACAAGTTCCACAAAGAGAATACTTTCCTTTTTTTTTGATGAATATTGTGAACTTTGTGGCTGCTTCCCTTTATTTGTTGAGGACTGACCTTCATCTTTTTGAAGTTAA